TGTCGGAATTTCGAACTTTCTTTTCGGAATTTGCGTTCTATTTCTTTTTGCAATAAGTTAGGAATTTAGGAATGTGGGAATTCGGGATTTCTTTTGCCGTGCGTTGTCTTTCATGCGCGCTTCTTTTTGCGGCTGCAGCGGAGCTTTGATTAGTCGGCGCCCTTGATCTCGTGTGTAATTGTAATTTTTGGGCAGGCGCCRTTGTAACTGTATCTCCCTTCTTCAGCTTCGTCTTTCCACCCTCTCCTTTTGTTTTTTTGCTTTGGATGTCTAGCCCGCGGGCTGCATGATTGAATCGCTGCGTGGAGAGTGGCCACGTCCCCCACGTCGCGGTCTGGCCATGCAGAACGTAGGCGATCCCTCTCCTAATCTCCTTTCTAAGTCCTTGCAATTCCGTGTTCTTCGTGCTTGCATATACACTATAAATTTCAGCTGCGCGATTAGATAGCTCTCTTAACCAGTTGTTGGAAGCTCGGGGTAGCGCGATCAGTGAGGGTCGGCTCATGAGCGAAGTAAGAGGGGAGTTGAAGTGGGAGTCGGGCGACCCGACGAGCTGGTGCCGAATGCGCGGGGTTGACGTGTGGGGCTACGACGGACTGTAGCGCGCGGGCGAACCTGGCGGGTGCAGGAGGACTAAGCGGGGTGATGACTTCGTGGGTTGGTATGTGACGAAGGACTGTCCGCATCGGAGAGAGAGAGAGGGAGAGCTGAGATTGATGGACGTGGATTTGCATTTTTCTTTACCTCTTCTTTTTCTTCCGCTTTGTACATAAGTTTTGATTTTGGCTCGAGCGATTCGTTCTCATCTCTCTTCGGCACATCTGTTTCGATATTGGTCCTTGTATGATACCTCATTTTGTCTCGGTCTTCCTGCTTTTGCATTTATGGGATGGACGGATTTGGATGGAGTAATATGTTTGTCGTTTTTGCGTAGTTGTCGCAATAGCTTTCGTCATTGCTTGTCACTTTGATCCGTTGTTGATTTGATGTTGCTGCGATGACTGATGTGTAATGACACCTTGCATGCTCGAAAATGATTGTTGAGTGATTAGATGATTGGGTAGCGTCCCGGAGAGGGGACAATTTTCTTTGCATGAGGGATTAAGATCTCACTTTGGTATCCAATAGGCTTGGGTGCACGCAAACACCTCGCGTGGATATGCGTAAGCGCGATCGGAATTGCGCGGCCTACACGTGTCCAAGCGCGGCGATTCACGTTCACTAACTATGCCGCAATGACAAGATGTCGGACACATGGGACCCGGAGTACTTTGAGCCTTGGGTGAGGGAATGTATTAGGCAAAGACACCCGAAATTCCCCTGCCTAACCGAGAATCGATTGTGCCCCAGGGAGTTTCACTGTGCCATAACCAGCAATCCAAGGTGCCCCGATTTTCCCACTACGGATAGCACGCAATACTTCATATCCCTCGGCTTCGTCGTTATCGCCACCAATTTCCCTCCCTTCCGTCTCCTCCTTCCATATCACCAACTCACAGTGGTTCCGTGGAATTCCATCGCCCCGTATTGGCCCCGCACGCCTTGCAGAAATTGCAGGCGACGCGGCAACCGACGAGCCTATGAGACCACGGGGCCTAACCAAAACGTGCGACGACAGACGCCACGTGTCTGCACCCGAAGGTCCGACTCATTGGAATCACAACCATCCCGGGCGGGCTTCTCCCCGAACCGCCGCCACCGAAACAGACGGATCGGACGGCCCTGAATGCACCGCGCATGCCATATGCCTTAGGCTGCACAACCTCGATCGCCATCAGACAGGAAGTAACTCGCCCCCTTAGCTCTATTGCATTTATGCCCCTGAAACCTTGCCACAAGAGATCTCAGTTCCGACCTTGGACTCCACCCCCACTTTCCCAAAAAATCCTTGGCACACCCCTTTTCGCACTTCCAGGACCACATCCCACTCCGATCAGGAAGTCGCGTCGGGCCTGAGGTTGGTATTGGAGCCCGACACGTGGCAGGGTTCTAGGACTCAGAACTGGGCGATCTGGCTAACAGGGGACGACCTCGAACCCCGAACGCGCATCGACGAGATCCCGTCGTCACTCGAAGCCGGTCTGCGGCTCGACGGGCGATCAACATGAACGCTAATCAACATAACCCCCAACATAATCCGAATCCACAATAGAATCCTAATCAACCCGTACCACGAGCACGGGCTCCCATGATGCCACCCGATCTCTATTTGTTAAACCCTGCACATCATCTCGCCGGAGCATGGCTGGCCACGCTCCGAGCTCAGCAGTATGATGATAATGAGGCACAAGTAAATATCCCCGCACGATTGGGGGGAGAGGCCCATCACTGGTTTAACACCTATGTATAGGTCGATCTCCCGACCTTCGAGCGAGATTTCTTGAATCGATTCGATTACATCCACCCGAAACAAACTCTTTTTATGATTAAAGATCGAGTTCAAAAACCCCTCCAGTCTGTCACAGAGTATCGAAACCGGTTCTATCGAATGTTCGTAAAAACGGAACGAGGCGAACAGGTAGGCAGAGATTTGTTCATTGACGGACTTCGCAGCCGAACGATGAAGGCAAAACTGCAAAAATAGTTCTCCCCCATCAATCACACGCTGCAACAGATCATGGCAGCTGCAGAGGAAATGGAACGAAAATTCGCTGCGAGTTTCCCCGCCACCGATTGAAAGTCCCCCACGACCGAATGAGTCTTCCGCCCTATTAGAACTAACCAAGGCACTGGTTACTCTCAATCAGGAAAGCAAAAGGAACATCGGAAACACAATGCTCGAATAGAGGCGATGATGAGGTCGATGCGACCAATAGCGGTGCATGCCGCCCCGATTTAACACGGATTGGCTTCGACACCGCCTCCCGTAGGGATCCCAAGCAATCTAAACGTCTGTTACACGTGTCACCAACCAGGGCATATAGCCCGAGATTGCCCTCATCGACCCCCGCAGCCACGAGTCGGGGTTGCGCCGGTAGCAGCAACTCCGATTGCTAACGGACCTCTGACGTGTAGGAGCATTGATGGAAGAAATGGAAGGAGGCGGAAGCACGTTAACCACGATGGAGGAAGCCGTTGAGCTCATTGGATCAGTATGTAACGTTAGGTTAACCGGGGCTTGGGATGATCGGAACAATTAGACCAACGCCAGAACAAAGAGAAGTGGCGGGGTGGCGACCGTCTCCAGGAGAAATGGAGTCGGGAGGACCCACCTTCGTCACTGGGGAGATCGGTGTTTTGAACATCGTTCGAGCCTAAGATCATCGGATTCCTCTTCCGATTGGACATCTACTTTCGATATCGGAACAAGGCAACGAACGGATGCTGCAACMTTGCAAGGCAAATCRGAAACGATTCGYCCTCGCCCGGACAGTGAATACGAAAGCAAAAAGTCAAACACAAGACGAAAAAGTTGTCGGAGCTTCAGATCCAATACGGTTAGGATTGATCCAGAAGAACGATCACTTCCAACGAATTAAACCAATCCCCTGGAAATCCGCAGAATGCGATATCGAGATATGGGGAATCCCGTACAATGTCATTATCGATTCTGGAGCCGCTGTTTTGGCTATCTCGTTACGGGTAGTCGAAAGGGCCGGGAGAAAGAACGATTTAATCATGCTTACAGAAAAATATCAGCACGTTTCAGCAAATGAAGAGAAGATTAAAACGGTGGGATGGATGACCAATGTTGCTTTTCGATTAGGGAAGGTACATGCTTTGGGAGATGTCGTAGTCTTAGACATAAACATTTGCGACGTCTTTTTCGGCCTTCTTGCTCTTGTGGCCTTGCGAGCCATTCTGAATTTCGAGAGACGATCGATTGTCCTCTGAAACACAGGAGGATAACCCTATGTTGTGGTGATGAGATTGACCCTTTATAGTACCACTAACGTAACTCCGCAAATTATTCCCATGATGGCGGGAACTCTCCTCGTAATCACCTGGATAACTCCGCAGACGACGGACAACTTTCAAAGGACACAGACAACAGCAACGAGGATGATCCAGTGATTCTGGAGATGGCACATCAGCGTATCCATTACCCTGTGTAGCAAGCGAATGCGAACCCTGTGAGGTGGACTGACCGAAATATACAAAGAATGCACGCCATGATTTTGGGCGAACCTCTCGTGCAGATTTCGAGGATGGTCGATTCTTTGGAACCCCCTCGAACCCTGTACGAAGGAAACTCCCCCTTGCTCGCACGATATAATGATAAAAGGTACTACTGCGACATCACAAATCTCACTCGATCTCTTTTGTCACCTGCAAAGGAGATACGTTTAATACGCTTAGGGGTGGAGACCAACTCTTTGGAACCCCCTGAGCGCCTCGAAAATGGACTCGCAATTACAATCGCGACGAAATCCGTGCCATGGCGGGACATCCGAGAAGGAATAACGCCGGAAGAACACGTGGCCATTCGGGAGCTGGACGCACAGATGATGGCCACAGTATTCTCMTGGCGATGGGATAACTCGTTTATTTCCGCACCCCCACCTGAACACACCAAGCGGGTGARTACGAAACATATTGATGTGCGAATATGRGATGAGTTGTACGAGTTACACGTGCCCCAATACGTACCCAACGAAATCCATCACCTAATTGCAGGCATCCTGAAGGAATACAAAGGGGTGATTAGTGTGACCGACACAGACATCGGATTATCGTTAGTCATACAACACGAGATTCAGACCGGAAACAATACCCCGATCCACTGTAAGCCCTACAGGTGTTCCCTGGTAGAACGGAAAAACGGCCCTTTATCGGATTCGGGAATTTGAACCTAATGGTTGGATCGAACCGGCTACTGGGTCATGGTCATTCCCGGTAGTATTAGTGCCGAAAAAAAACGGATCGATTCGCATATGCATTGATTATCGCAAACTGAATGACATCACGATCAAAGATGTGTACCCCCTTCCCAGGATTGATGATTTGCTTGATGCGATTGGGTGCGCTAATTATTTTAGTAAGTTTGATWTTCGTCACGGCTTCCATCATATTCTGGTCAAGGAGGAGGATCGACCAAAAACGGCCTTCGTACTGTTTGAAGGCATGTGGCAGTGGGTTTGGTGTCCAATGGGGATTTGCAATGCGCCTGCCACGTTTCAGTGGGCCATGAACGTGACGTTTCAGAACTTTGTCAACAAGACGCGGCTAACTCAAGGGATGATTAAGTCCTGCGTCATCGTGTACACGGACGATATCTTGGTCTACTCAGAGATCTACCACGGTCACGCGCAACACATCGAAAGGATACTGGGAGCTCTGAGAGATGGCGGATTCAAGATCGCGCTCGAAAAGAGCGAGTTTTTCCTCTCGGAAATCTCGTTGTTGGGTTACGTGGTGACACGTGGAGGACTGCGGCCAGACTCGAGAAAGGTCGCGGCGGTGAAGGACVCCCCTGTCCCCACGTCATTGACGCGGGTTCGAGCCTTTCTGGGGCTAGCATCGTACTATCGTCGCTTCATCAAGGGCTTCGCCGCAATTGCGTGGCCTATAACGAACCCACTACGGAAGGACCAGCCCCTCAGCTGGGATGCAAAGTGCGAACAGGCCTTCTTCGCCACCCTCAAGGATGCCCTAGCAACGACACCTATTTTTATCCGACCGGACCCTACGAAGCAGTTCATTCTTATCACGGACTGGCAGCCAGAAGCGATCTCCGCTATTCTAGCGCAGAAGGGGAACGACGACCGCGAACAAGTCATCCAGTACGCATCACGCACGGTGCCGGACAAACGAAGAAACGACTCAGCACCGCAAGGCGAGTGTTACGCCGTGGTCTGGGGAATCCAACACTTCCATCCGTACTTGTACGGACAGAAGTTCCTCCTTGTGACCGACCACGAGCCATTATTGGCTCTCAAGAAGCTCACTAATTTCACGGGTATGATTGGACAGTGGGCGGTGCGTCTACAAGAATACGACTTCGACATCATCCATCGAAAGACGGAGAGGCACGGCAACGCGGACGGGTTGACACGTCTGCATCACCCCGCTAAGGTACCTAAGGGTGAAGAAATCATTCCGTGGAAGGAACCGGAGTCAGTGAACGGATCCAAGTACGAACAAGTGGCAGTCCTTCCACGTGGCAAGAAGCAGACAATTGGCAATGGGTGACGGAGGTAATCTTGTGACTCCCGTCTCTCCCCTCTCATCCTCATCTCATCTCTCCCTACCCGACAAACTTTGTTATTTTTGCGAAGCAATTTATCGTGTCTACTCGGTTCCTATGCGTCCTAGTGGGAGGGATATGCGGAGTGGATAGATTGTGGGCAGTGTGTCGCACGAGCCCATGACTCGTGTATCCAGTACAGAAATAAAGATAAGCCTTGGTTGTGTCCCTTGTGTCGGGTTGATAAGATCCCGATCGAGGCTCGATTCCTTGACGTCTGTGTCGTCCCCCGTACGTCGTACGGGGGGTCCCCGTACGGACCGTACGGACGGACGGACGGACGCCCGTACAGGAGTACGGACGTCTTCCGCACGAGCGTGCTACGGCCCAAAGGGGGGGTGCTAGGGGGGGGTTAAGGGCATGGGGTGTTGGGGGGGCTTGCTAGGGGCACTGGAGTGTTGTTGAAAAAATTTTATTTTATTTTATTTTTGTGAAAAATGAGAAAGAAAAAAAGGACTGCCCGCGTTCCTGCGGGGCTCAGCCTGGCAGGCAGTGGCGCGTGGCAGGGCTGTTTTGAAGGGCAGGCCGAAGCAGCCCTGCCCCGCGCCACTGCCTCCCAGGCTGAGCCCCGCGGGGACGCGGGCAGTCCTTTTTTTTTTCTCGTTTGTCAGCAAAAAAGAAAAAAGGGACTTCGTGTGGACTGGGCGGGCCTTGGGGCCGGCGTGTGCTTATATATGAGGTTGTGCCATCGTTGTGGGCGTCAACACCAACAGTTTTTGCTGTAGCCCACATTTGTGTTGTCGCCCACGCGACAGTGGTGTTGGAGGCTGCTCATGGCAACGCACACCCACAGAGAGAGAGAGAGAGAGAGAGAGAGAGAGAGAGAGAGAGAGAGAGAGAGAGAGAGA